GTTTTTTGCCCATTGTTCGGCTGAAACTGTCCAAATTAGCATGTGTATAGCAAGTACACTATATATTGTGGTACATGACGTCCCTGCATTGCTATTACATCGCGGGCTCCTGTTTGAATTTGAGTCTGATATTTGTTGATGCAATGAATTGTGTACGTCGATGCATGTTGAAGCAAAAAACAATGCGAATTGAGGGCCAAGAAATGTATCTCTTTTCTTCAAATTATAACAATGACCGGTACGAAGAGTAGATCTTCTTAATACAAGCGAAAAAGGAAGGGAAAGGGGTTTTCTGGTATTGCAAAGGCACAAAGATCGTGACTCAACACGAGATCAAAATATGAGTAATGATGATCCCACGTGTGAATCTCCAAATAGACAATGTTGATGGCTCAAACCAAAATAATGTTATTGGAACTTCAAGAAAATTACGATGTGAAATCAGAAATGAGAATAGTGATAATGACACCGAAGAAAATATCCCCGAATACAGGCTGATCAGTTTGGCTGCCTATCCAATTATGCTGTCTCAAATATTCAACACATGTGTGAGGAAGGTAATAATTTGCCCTTTGTGTTTTATATCTTATCCTTCAAAACTGGTTTAATATAACATATGGTTTAAATTGTACTCCTGCAAACCCCTTTTATATCTATTCTGCAACAAAAGTTGTATATATTTGTTGTGTAACATGTAAACAGTAAACAGCAATATACAGTACATACAGTACCGCTCAGAATTAACCTAACAAAAACCGCGGTTTAACCTCGGTTGAACCTCGGTTTGACCGCGGTGTGACCGCGGTGATTTAAAGGTTTGACCGAGGTTATACCGCGGTAATTTTGAGGTTAAACCGCGGTGACCGTGAGGTTTAACCGAGGTTTGAACGCAACCGAACCGAACCGATCCGCAAGCTTCGTATATACTCGTAATAGCATTCGTAAATATTCGTGTATTTCCGAAGGGGTCATTATAAAAATTTCGTATGTGCTTTATAAATATTGACATACTTTGTAAACATTGAGGCATGGGGAGGCTGTCGCTTTATGCCAGGGAGCGAATTGTCTATACTTTCGACAAATACTTCAGTTGTTGGAATAACTAAGAGTTTAAACGAATGGTAAAGGCAAATATGTAGGTCTCTTCTTGTTTATTACAGTTTAAATAGATGTTTTAGAATAAGTAAGAATTTGTCGTGCGCATCAACTTAAATTAACTTAACTCTTTAATATACACAATATACTGTCGCGAGTAAGAGTACATCCACTCGCGCGTAGCGAGTACTCGTTCTGACTCGCTACTCGCGAGTACTTGCATTTCATCTCACTCGCAAGCACTCGCCACTCGCAACTTGCGAGTGCTTGCGAGTCAAAAGGCTCAGACAATTTGTACAAATATGAAGCGAATAATTCAGCTAAATGAAATAAAACTCCATAGTTATATGAAACATAGTATGATAGATATTAACGTGTTTATAAACGACTGCCACATGGTGGGAAATATTTTCTTCGAACACAGTTCGTAAATGGTCGGACAGTCTTAGAAGCGTTAGCTATAACTGAGTCTATATCAATCAAAACAAAGCTTTAAAAGCGAAACCGCAATAAAAAATGTAAAAATGACACCAAAATGCGAATGATTGGACGAACAAATGCCATATTTAAATTTGGGACTATATATTCAAATATGGTCCGGTTGTAAGAATTGGCATTGAGTTCACTGACGCTGTTTAACAATATAAATATCGAGTACTCGTCGACGTTGTCTTGTAGTTGCAGTAAGATTCGAGAATCAAATTAGGAGTAAAAACGTAATACTGTAAAGTGCAAAGTGACAAAATATAACTTACATTGTATATACTGCTAGCATCTGTCTTGAATCAGGAACCATTACAAACTCACAGTTTCTCGCTCGTTATAGCCGTCAAGCGACTTGATGCGCTGAATCCAATTGAAGATAATATAGATCGAACCCCATGGAACAACGTAACACGAACATACTTTATTTAAAGCAAAAAAATTCAATTATACTAGTATCATATAATCGACAAATCCTGCCTATACTAATACAAGTATAGATTGTTTTGGCAGATCTCATGCATGTATGGTCATTATGATATTAAAGAAAGACATCAGCCATGAAATATTTGCGGAGGCGTAGTGTGCTTTGTTTGTGTTAGATCTGTGAATTGAAATATTTTAGAGTCTATAGTGGTCTGAATGTTTTTGGCACGTGTCAGAAAAATTTCAGCTGATCATGTTTGGTTTTTTCCCCCGTTAACTTGCGTTTCGTGCGGGTTTGAGCTGAGGACAAATTTACACAATTTAATTGCTAAGTTCGTCAATGGCCCATATGCCGCGGTTTCTAAAAAAAACATCTATTATAATCTGTGTTCAACGAATATATCAATGTTGCTTGAACTGTGTCAGGCCGAATTTTTCCCGAAACTCAAAAGGCAAAAGTCTATTTAAAAATTGTGTCAATTTGTAACCGCGTAATATTAGGAACTTTTTATCATGATGCGCATGAAAATATGTGTTGTTGGTTTTGACAGCCTATAAGTATAAAACTACAAATACAAATATATTAATTTTTCAAACAACTGCTTTATCTTGTCAAATTTTCTCAGCTATAGCCTGGCTATATAGTATTGAAGAATATGCCAAAATTTGATTTCTTCTACTCGGTCAAGAAGCCTAATTAACTACAACTGCATGGTTATGTGAGCATTTTTTTCTTCAAAATTGGCACTCACACAGACAGTTCAAGAGTTCAAGCTCAAACCCGTACGAAACGCAAGTTAACGGGGAAAAAACCAAACATGATCAGCTGAAATTTATCTGACACGTGCCAAAAACATTCAGACCACTATAGACTCTAAAATATTTCAATTCACAGATCTAACACAAACAAAGCACACTATACGCCTCCGCAAATATTTCATGGCTGATGTCTTTCTTTAATATCATAATGACCATACATGCATGAGATCTGCCAAAACAATCTATACTTGTATTAGTATAGGCAGGATTTGTCGATTATATGATACTAGTATAATTGAATTTTTTTGCTTTAAATAAAGTATGTTCGTGTTTCGTTGTTCCATGGGGTTCAATCGATATTATCTTCAATTGGATTCAGCGCATCAAGTCGCCTGACGGCTATAACGAGCGAGAAACTGTGAGTTTGTAATGGTTCCCGATTCAAGACAGATGCTAGCAGTATATACAATGTAAGTTATATTTTGTCACTTTGCACTTTACAGTATTACGTTTTTACTCCTAATTTGATTCTCGAATCTTACTGCAACTACAAGACAGCGTCGACGAGTACTCGATATTTATCATGTTAAACAGCGTCAGTGAACTCAATGCCAATTCTTACAACCGGACCATATTTGAATATATAGTCCCAAATTTAAATATGGCATTTGTTCGTCCAATCATTCGCATTTTGGTGTCATTTTTACATTTTTGATTGCGGTTTCGCTTTTAAAGCTTTGTTTTGATTGATATAGACTCAGTTATAGTTAACGCTTCTAAGACTGTCCGTCCATTTACGAACTGTGTTCGAAGAAAATATTTCCCACCATATGGCAGTCGTTTATAAACACGTTAATATCTATCATACTAGGTTTCATATAACTATGGAGTTTTATTTCATTTAGCTGAATTATTCGCTTCATATTTGTACAAATTGTCTGAGCCTTTTGACTCGCAAGCACTCGCAATTTGCGAGTGGCGAGTGCTTGCAAGTGAGATGAGATGAAATGCGAGTACTCGCGAGTAGCGAGTCAGAACGAGTACTCGCTAGTACTCGCTACGCACGAGTGGAGGTACCCTTACTCGCGACAGGTACTGTAATAAAGGCTAAAGGTTATAACGCGTGTACCTAAAAGGTAAATAAAATCTCGGCCTGTTAGGTACACACGCGTTATAACCTGGAGCCTTCATTTTAAAACTTTATTATAATTGACAATCTAGCCTTTATTATAAAACTTTATTATAATCGACGATCTGCTGTAGCCCTTATTATATAATTGAAGCTGACACCACAGCCTTTAAGCTTTCTCTTAGCTGTTATATTATAGCCCGAGTTAGCAGTTTATTAGTGAAGACATTCTATACCGCGAATATTTTACTGCTTTTGGTCGGAAAACCTCGGAATCAGAATGCATATTAAAACCGCGGTTAGCTTTTTGCCGATGCGTGGGCTAAACCGCAAAAAAACCGCCCGATAACCGCCCGATAACCGCACGTTAACCGCACGTTGACCGCACGTTAACCGCCCGATAACCGCAGGCTAACCGCAAAACGACCGCAACCGCAGTGTTAGGTTAATTCTGAGCGGTACTGTATGCTTGAAACACAAAAACACCGAATACCACTAAGCTAGTGTCTTTGTATGATGAATATCAATACAACCAGCTTATTAAAGAACCGACTCAAGTAACTAAATCCAGCAAATCCCTTATTGATCATATCATTACTACAGTGCCACAACGTATACGAAAAAGTGGTGTCTGTCATGTCATCTGTCTATTAGCGACCATAACTTAATATATGCAGTGCGCCGTATGGTGATGCCACGAGAGCGACCTCGAATTATCCAGGCTAGAAACTATAAATCTTTTGATTTAAATGCTTTTTCGAAGGACCTTGAGAAACTATCATGGGCAATTATAGAAAGCTTTAGTGATCGAAATGACATGTGGCACACATGGAAAACGTTGTTTAACAGCGTGTTAGACAACCATGCACCAGTTAGGACCAAGCGTGTCAGAAACCTGGATGTGCCCGATCTTAAAAAAATGATGTTTCCTGTGGACTATCTCAAAAAACGAGCCGCAAAAACTCAGTCTGATTCTGCTTGGCGTGCGTACTGTACCATGCGAAATAGAGTAAACTATGAAATAATAGCAAGCAAAAACAGTTATTTCTCACATAACCTTGAGATTAACAAAGGAAATTTGAAAGAAAACGTGGAAATTGTTGAATAGTCTAATGAATAAGCCAACTAAAACGACTTCAGTCAATGAAATTAAGAAGGATTCGGACATTATAACCGATCGAAAATGTGTTGCAGAGACGTTTAATTAATAACCATTTTGTTGAGATTGGGCCAGAACTTGCATGTGATATCCCACAAATGAACATAGATGATACCAATTTTCTAACACAATCCTCTTGCAATTTTAATTTTAAACATATTAGTACTGGATGTTTAAATTCCTTCAAAAAAGGTATCGGGTCTTGACAACATACCATGTTCTATAATAAAGAATGTTGCAAGAATTATATCTGGCCCTTTGTCAAAGATATTTAATAAATCTCTCTCAAGTGGTGTTTTTCCAGATGAGCTGAAGGATGCAAAAATAACCCCACTTTTCAAAATCGGAATGAGATCCGAAGTAAACAACTACAGGCCTATTTCTGTTTTATCTGTGATAGCTAAAGTCTTTGAGATGATTGTCTTTAATCAATTTTATGAATATATTAGCAGCAATGATCTCTTATCCACGAACCAATCGGGTTTCAGACCTTTTCATTCTACAGTTACAGCCCTTCATAAAGATACAATATATTGGCTTAGCAACATACATGGACAAAAGGGAAATTGACATATAGCTGTCTTCATTTGACCTTAAGAAAGCTTTCGACAATATTGATCATGCTTTTCTTGTGAACAAGCTAAATTTGTACGGGGTTTTTGGTAAGGAATTAGACTGGGTTCGGTCATATCTATCAAATAGAAGCCAAAAATGCTTTATTAACGGTGTATTATCTAGTCCTCGTACAATGAAATGTGGCGTCCCGCAGGGTTCGATATTGGGACCTCTTCTCTCTCTCATTTTCATCAACGATTTACTGGGTTGTCTTTCTCATACAACACCGAGTATGTACGGAGACGACACCATGAGTATTAGTTCAGGCAGTGAAAAAATTGAAGATTGGGAAGTAGAATAAATTCTGACTTGGCTAGCCTGAACGAATGGCTAAATGCAAATAGGCTCAGTCTGAACACTATTAAAACTGAATATATGTTAATTGGTTCAGCACCTAGAATTAATAGATTAACTGCCGAACCTGTTTTATACATAGGAAATACAAGATTGAAAAGTGTCAAGTTTAAAAAAACTCTTGGTGTTATCCTAGATGAAAATCTGGGATGGCACGATCATATAGAAAATATAGCCAAAAAAGTTAAGAGAGGTATTTCTGTTTTAAGAAAAATCCGTGACTCTATACCTATTGAGGCACTACTGAAAGTTTACCATGCCATTGTCCAACCGCACTTTGACTATTGTTCCTCTGTGTGGGACAATTGCAATAACGGCCTTAGAGACAAACTTCGGAGATATTGCAAAACCGCGCTGGAAGGATAATCACGCTTTCTGGCTATGAAATCAGGTCAGCTGAAATAATGGAAAATCTAGGTTGGAAGACGTTAGAGCACCGGTGGGATATAAATAAGGCACTGTTATTGTTTAAAGTGGTTAACAATGTCGCTCCTGTGTATTTGGTTTTCCAATTTTCAAAAAGAGACGAAGTGCATGATCACGATGTGCGTGGTAGTATACTTAATTTAACTATCCCAAAACCAAACACTAATGTTATGAAAATCAGTATTGCTTATAGTGAATATTCCCCGATAATCACCTCTCCTTCAGTCCTTCGGCGAATAATTGTTAAATACTTGTTGCATGTGAAGCTTTATTGCACAAGCATATTATCATGATCAGGAGGAGCTTCTTCAACACCTACCGAAAACCACCTTTGATCACATCAAACTCTCATCATTTGGAAAAATGAAAGCAGCCTTGCTATCCAGGTTTTTAGTAAATCTATGGCTAATGCACTACGATTTTTCCATGCAGGTGGTGAGCCAGACGAGTTGGCTAAATTCATTGAAATGGTTAATGCTTTATTTGACATGGCAAATACAAGATCTTCTACTGTGCATGTACACAAGAGAGATCCTAACGTGAAACTATACACAGATCCAAATGACCAAGGACTTACATGGATGACTGATGTGTTTTTGCCATATTTAGATCAGTGGAAAACAAATTTAGCTCCTACCTTCTCCAAAATCTTGTACTTTTCAATAATGTTTCGAGTGTGAGAATACGATCTAATAGTAATAAACAATTTCACAATATTCTCTATAAACATGAGGATAGGCACTCTTCACTTAGTTCAGTCGAGTAATTGTGTACAATAGCATCCCAGTGTGAAATAACTTCTGGGGAATCTAATGAGCGCTTCAGAATGATGGAAGTGGGTATGCTCCCGGTGAAGTGGTTGTCTTTTCTCGAAATATTTATTTATTTATTTATTTATTTTGCCACAATATATATATATATATATATATATATATATATATATATATATATATATATATATATATATATATATATATATATATATATATATATA